ATAAAAAATTGCATTCAAATAATTTAAAAATCAATGCCATCAGATCCACACCGTTTGGGCTTAGGGTGTGGATCTTCAAGAAGGTTTTACTTTTTCTAAAAAAATTGCCACCTGTTAAGAAATTAAGCTCAAATTAATTAAAATGTTAAATCAATTATTAAATATGGGTATCAATCGAAATGGTTTTTAAAGGGGTTTATAACTTAACTACATATAGGAGGGTTGCTACATGTTAAAAAAATGTAATTCCATTTTAATTAAAGGAATTTGGTAAGTGAATAAGGTATCGCTATATGGGTGTCATGCAAAAGGGGTTAAGAAGGTAGTAGTTTAAAAATACGTATATGAAATATTAACGATGGATGTCAAATGAAAGAGCTTCAAGAAATACTTAATTTGACAATTTAGAGCATTTTTGATGTGTTTGAGGGTTGCCCCAGTTTAAATGGCTAAACTAAAATTATTTAATAAGTTAAATGAGTTACTAACCGATGGTTATAAATGGAAATGGGTTTAAAATCCTTTATTTAAGAACTAAATTGAGGAGGATTGCCACGTGTTTAAAAATAAATTTCCACTTAATTCATCAGTTATATGCAATTTTAGTTAGAAAATAATTTTTAAGATGGTTGTCGCCTGTTTTGAAAGTGGTATTTCATTTAGTTATACATAAGTTACATGAAATTTTAAAATAGGGTCATCAAAAGAACGAGTGTTAAGAAATCTTTAAGCTGAACATTTGGTTTTTTTTTTGAAAAAATTAAGCTCAAATTATTTAATAAGTTAAATGGATTGTCAAAAGATGGGTATCAATCGAAATGGGTTTGAAAATAATTTATTTCTAAACTGTATTTAGGAGAGTTGCCATGTGCTTAAAAAAATTCAATTCATCTTAATTCATCAGTTAATTGAAATATGTGTAACAATGCCAGGCGAAAAATTTTAGTTTGAAGATACATAAATCCAATATCGAAATATTAGTGTCAAACGAAAGAGTTTTAAGAAAACTATATGCTGATAATATTTTTAATTAGAGTTGCCATCTATTTTTTTTAAGGTCATCACATCTGCACCGTTATTTCGAATTTCCAAAATGAGAAGTCAAATAAAAGAACTAGAATTCTACATAGATATGCACTGGGTTTATTTTTTTAAGTTACAGGGAGATTTGAAATTTGATGAAATGAAAACCGACACCATGCGAGACCTCTCTCATTGACAAATGGTTTAGATTAATTATTAGGAATATTGTTAGAGGTTTTTGAATAGGGTTTCACCTGTATAAAAAAATTAATTAAACGCTGGCCTTTTGACGCCATGTGGGTTCACTAGTGTATATCTATTTCTTCTCCTTCTTTGGCACTGTAACCGCCTAAGCGATTTTAGCCGAGTTCAACGAAGCACGCCATTCGTTTCTGACGCCAATTGGAATCGCAGTGGGGGCCACGCTCTGCCTCTGATACCACCAGCTGGTTCCGAGTTGAATACTTTAAGTGCTGGAGCGTTTTAGTCCATTCGAACGACATGGCCGAGCTAGCGGATCCGCTTTCTTTAACTCACTGCATTATGTCCATGTCTATGTAAAGCTCATCTTCCGCAAAATATTTCTCTTGACTATTCCAAGAGCCCCATCATTTTTATACCCGAGCGCACTTGTGCACAAGGGTATATTAATTTTGTTCACATAACGGTTGTTTGTAACAGCCAAAACGAATCGAGATAGATATAGACAAATGTATACATAAAT